GACCAAGCCTTGCTCTTGGGTTTTCTTGCGCAAGCTTCCAACCAATTGTGCTGCCTCCCCAGAACTGCCATCTAAGATATCGGTGTACAGACGCTGGGCCACTGCAGCGATTAAGGACGCAGAGGCCGGAGACATAGTGACACCGTGGATAATCTGTATGTACGTCACGAGGGGCCCCGTTGCACTGCCGGAGAAGGCCCACGAATCGAGAATACCGATAGCAAAGTACGATGACGATGCACAATTTTGCAATTGCGATTTTCACAACGTGCAGCCCGAGTCTGATCAGTTTGAGCACTGCCTGCTTCCGCGGAGACTCGGACATGAGATATGGATGGCGCTGAATCAGCGCTCTTCGGCCAAAACGGCAGCAGGCATCTACGTAGGTCGCCTAACTTCGCGCATCGCCCCCCCGCGATGCGCAACTCGCAGTTATCTTCGCGCCCTCTCGCCCTCACGCCGCCGCCCGCGGGAAAGGGCGGCAGTGCAGGCTCGGACCACGACGCGCGAGGCGCGATTACCTTCGCGCCCCTGGGGGGGACCTACAGCAAAAGGTGGGGGGGAAGAGAACGAAACCCTCCCACGCTAAGGACTGCGCGCGGCCACTTGGAGGGCATGCCGTAACACTACCACTTCTGTGGGGCGGAGGGGGCGGAGGAGGGGGAGGAGGAGGAGGACGAGGGGGAGGAGGAGGAGACGGAGGAGGAGGAGGCGGAGGAGGAGGAGGAGGACCATTGTAAAATCAAGGGTCATCAACGATGTTTGAATTAACCCTCCCTCCAAGCTCCCTCTTCAGAGGGTCCCACAACGGTTCATTTCCATTGAGGGAACTGCCTCGTTGGAAGATGCCAACATGTTGTTCTCGGGATTTCAGCGCCACGTGTCAATTTGACTGCTGCGTCTTGACGATCCGGAATCGTGCTTGAGCGCCATTTTTGGGAATTCAACACCGCGAAACAACATAAATGTTGCACCCGCATCATTCTGAATCCTTCCCAAACACCAGGTCTGGTGCATTGATCAGGGGAACCCGTGAAACTCTTGCAAAGTTTGAAAACGAATGTGAGCGGCGCTGAAGCGAGAGCCACAGTTTGAAAAGGAACCACCCTCAATCCGTAAAACTTCTGCAAACTTTGAAAAAACGAGTGTGAGCGGCGCTAGGGCGAGAGCCACATGTTGAAAACAACCCGCCCTCAGTCTGTGAAGCTCTTGCAAGTTTTTAAAGCAAATGTGCGCGGCGCTAAGGCGAGAGCCACATTTTGAAAACAACCCGCCCTCAACCCGTGAAGCTCTTGCAAATGTTTAGAACGAGTGTGCGCGGCGCTAAGGCGAGAGCCACATTTTGAAAAGGAAACACCCTCAATTCGTCAAACTCTTGCACATGTTTAAAGCGAATGTGCGCGGTGTTAAGGCGAGAGCCACATTTTGAAAACGGCCCGCCCTTCATTTGTGAAACTGTTGTCACGTATTAAGCTTCAGAGTCATAAATGGTGAGGAGGTCTCAGGGGAAACGCCCGGCCCGCCCTAAAAACTGGTCTCCGGGTGCGGCAGGGAGGAGTTATTTTTAAGGAGAAGGAATGGGGGAGCAGGAGGAGGAGGAGGAGGAGGAGGAGGAGGAGCTGGAGGAGGAGGACGAGGAGGAGGAGGAGGAGGAGGAGGAGGAGGAGGAGGAGAGGAGGAGAGGAGGAGGAGGAGGAGGAGGAAGGAGGAGGGGGAGGAGGAGGAGGAGAGGAGGAGGAGGCGGAGGAGGAGGAGGAGGAGGAGGAGGAGGAGGAGGAGGAGGAGGAGAGGAGGAGGAGGAGGAGGAGGAGAGGAGAGAGGAGGAGAGCAGCAGCAGGAGGAGGAGGAAGAGGAGGAGGAGGAGGAGGAGGAGGAGAGGAGGAGGAGGAGGAGGAGGAGGAAGAGGAGGGGGATGGGGGAAGGGAGCGGGATGGGGGAGTTTCAGGGAGAAGGAGGAGAAGGAGGAGGAGGAGGGGGAGAAGAGGAGGAGGTGGAGGAGGAGGAGGAAGAGGAGGAGGAAGAGGGGGAGGGAAAGGAGGAGGAGGTGGAAGAGGAGGAGGAGGAACAGGAATAGTAACAGGAGCAAGAGCAGGGGATGATGAGGATGAGGATGCTGATGATGTTGATGATGATGATGGTGATGACGATGATGCTGGTGATGATGCTGATGATGATGACGATGACGATGCTAACGATTATGATTACGATGATGATGATGACGATGATGATGATGATGAGGATGATGATGATGATGATGATGATGATGATGATGATGATGATGCTGATGCTGATGCTGATGCTGATGCTGATGCTGATGCTGATGCTGATGCTGATGCTGATGATGCTGCTGATGCTGATGATGCTGATGATGCTGTTGCTGCTGATGATGCTGCTGATGATGCTGATGATGCTGCTGCTGATGCTGCTGCTGCTGATGCTGATGAGGATGGTGATGAGGATGAGGATGATGATGCTGATGCTGTTGATGGTGATGAGGATGGTGATGAGGATGATGATGAGGATGAGGATGATGCTGAGGTGGAGGATGGTGGTGGTGGTGATGATGATGCTGATGACGGCAATGAGGATGTTGTTGATACTGATGATGACGATGATGATGAGGCTGAGGAGTAATATGAGGATGATGTTGATGCTGCTGATGCTGATGCTGCTGATGCTGCTGTTGCTGATGATGGTGATGATGATGGTGATCCTGATGATTACGATGATGGTGGTGGTGATAATGTCGACGACGATGCGGATGATGATGATAATGATGATCGTGCTGATGATTATGATGATGCTGCTGCTGATGATGATGATGATGATGCTGATGGTGGTTATGATGGTGATGCTGCTGATGATGTTGGTGGTGATGGTGGTAACGATGCTGATGGTGCTGATAACGATGATGGTGATGCTGCTGCTGATGATGATGCTGCTGATGAGGATGAGGATTGGGATGGTGATGCTGATGATTATGATAATGATTATGCTTCTGATGGCGAGATGATGACCGAACTGATGCTGATGATGCTGATGATGCTGATGGTGCTGCTGGTAATGGTGCTGCTGATGATGATGATGCTGATGATGAGTTTGATGATGATGCTGCTGATGAGTATACTTCGTCATAATAATGAGCAGCAGCAAACGAGATGATGAATGATGATGGAGGACACTCAGCGATGAGGTAGGGATTCGTGAGGAAACCCTGGATGATGAACGAGGGGTGGACGAACCTTTCTTCTATTCTTCTGGCTTGCTTGGGCCCCCTCCGTGCCCTGTTCTCCTTGCTGCTTGCTTCCTCCTCCCTGCCTTCTTTCTGCTGCTGCTGCTGCTTCTCCTCCTCCACCTCCCTCCTCCTCCCTCCTCCCCTCCTCCGCGCCTTCCTCCTCATCTCTTCTCCCTCCTCCCTCGTCCCTGCTCGCTCCTGTCCGATCCATGCTTTCTCGTCCCTCGGGTTTGGTCCCTCCTTGCTCCCTCCCCCTTTTTCGTGGCCACGGCTCCGTCCCTCCCCCATAGCCCCCATCCCTCTTTACCGTCGTCCTACTGTTCCTCATCTTGTTTGCCACTCCCCCGCAGCAGGGCCACGCTGGCTGGTGCGGTGGAGCAGGTCCTCGCGTCGCTGAGGGCCAACCCTCGCAGCCTCGCCGTCCACGAGAGAGGCTGGGCGGCCCGAGCTCTGGATGGCGAGCCCCTGCCCCTGACACTACTCGGGTTCGGGGAGATGCCTCGAGCCTCGGGGCAGCGGTGTAAGCTCGGGCCAGCCGGCTGAGCAAGCGGGGAGGCGGGTTTATCCCCCCCACCCCCCCGAGACTGGCGGGGACGACCAGGGGATGGGAGATGGGTGAAGCTAAAGCATGGGATGGGGAAACTACAGCTGAGGACGCTACGCAGAGGACGCAAAAGGGGAGCGGGGGGGGAGGGGAATGGAGGAGGGGGGTAGGGTGAAGGGGACGGGGGGGGGATGGAGTGGGCTGGCATGTAGAGGGAAAGGGGTGAAGAGGAAGGGCGGGGCCTGAGAAGTGCGGAGGGGGGCCCGTGGACTGGAGGGCGAGGCTTGCCCGTCCGCACCCCCTCCCCCTGGAGGAGCGGCGGGGCGAAGGAGGCAAGGGGAGACGCCGGGAGGGGGGCCCAAGCCCGGGGGGGAAGGGGGAGCCGTCAGCCGCCAGCCAGTCGGGCTCGCGCGCCGTGGTCCTCGCTGCCACGGTGCTCTCGCGGTCTGGAGCCGACCGCCCCCCGCGGGCTGGCGGTCCCCCTTCCCGAGGCTGCTGCCCGTCACTGCGCTCGCTTCTTCCCCGTATTCCCGCCTGCCCTGTCGGACCCCTCCTCTCGGCGCCGCGGCCAGGCGCGGCGCGGAGGGCTTGGTCGGAAGGGTGCAGGGGCTGGGTGCCCGCAGGCTGGGTTCGAGCGGATTCGAGCGGGTTGTTGCCAGAACCGAGGGTGGAGGAGGCATGTGGATGAGGAGGGGGAGGAGCGGGAGGATGACGGGGAGGGAGGAGGAGGAGGAGGAGGCGGAGGAGAAGGAGAAGGAGAGGAGGAGCATTGTCCCCAAATGCTCGCACATCTAAATCACTACCGTCTCTCTGAAAGTGATCTGGATTTGGTGCCGCCTTGCGTAACAGCCAGCATTGATGAGCCCAGCTTAGCTTAGCTTGGCTTAGCATAGCCCAGCCTGAGACTAGCAAGGCTCAGCCTGGGCTAGCTTGGCCCAGCCTAGCGCGACCTGGCCTGGCCTGGCCTAGCCTGGCCAAGCCTGGCCTGGCCTACCCAGCCTTGCCTAGCGTAGCTCACCTCAGCCCAGCCCAGATGCTGTTTCTTTTTCGGTCTGCCGTGTCTGCATAATATCTGGAGTCGACGTGGGAAGGCCGATCTTCCTCTGAGGGACGCCCGCGGTCGCGCGCCCTCTCGTTGCTCCAGCCGGGGTCCCTCCGAAACCGTTCTGCTCGTGGAGGAGGGTGCTGGCGCGGCCTTCGCTGCGAAGCCCTCGCCGCGAGATGGCTGGCGCAATGGGCCACCGGCGCGGGGAGCGCACGCCACGGCTGCTGGCAGCCTCGGCGCTGCTCGTGGCGCTGCCCGCGGCGTCCGCGGTGGACGCCTCGAAGTTCCGCACGCGCCCGCCTCGGCTGCAGCTCGGGGGGCTTCCGGGAGCACGTCTGGCAGCCTGGCTCAGAGGTTTGGCTCGGCCGTCTCTGGATCGGACGCGCTGTGGCTGTGCCCTGGCCCGATCGTGAGGCGGTGGGCGAGGAAGGGCAGGATTGGGGAGCACGAGGGGGGGAGGGGTAGGAGGCAGGATGATGATGGGGGAGGAAACGAAGTCAGAGGATGGGGGAGGAGGGAAGTAGGGTAGGAGCAGGAGGGATAACATGGGGAGGGAGGAGGTGACGGACAAGGATGGGGAGGAGAAGGAGGAGGACGAGGCAGAATCTTTCCTTCGGAAATGTTGTTTGAGCGCATTATGGCACCTCTTGGGATGGAATGGGCTGCGATCTACCCGTCGGGGGGGGCCAATTCGGGCTTCGGAAGCTCTACGTATTGCGCCCGCCCTCTGGGAAGCCTCGTGATTGGCGCGAAATCTGAGCGGACTCCAGACCGACCCCATCCACGATGGCCCGTCCTTAGACGTATCGCAGGATGCCCGTGGCAAGTTGTGCCACCACGCTATCGCAGCACTCTGTGTGACGATCCTTCGAAAACCAGAGGATGAAAATGCCGTAACATGTGACGATGCACCACCGCAGAGCTTTCAGAGCCGTAACACGTGACACATGTCTTCCAAAGGCCCTAGAGAGATGCAACATGTGATGCACCGCTTTTACTTCCCCAGTCTGGCAAAACCTGGTAACGCGATAGGCCTGGAGGGAGCCCCAAGGTATGACAGCTGTCCTCGAAGCGTCAAGAGGGCAGTGGGGGAGGGGGAGACTTGAGCACAGAGGGGACACAAGTGGAGGGTGACAGGGGCCGGGGTTGGGGAGGATGACGGTGGAGGGTGATGGGAGGGTGACGTGGAGGGTGACGTGGAGGGTGATGGGAGGATGACGTGGAGGGGCCGGGGTTGGGGAGGATGACGTGGAGGGTGATGGGAGAGGTGGCTTTGCGGAAGGGCGAGGTGCCAAGGCCCCAGATCACCGTAACAAGCGACGCTAACATTTGTTTCTTCTCCCGTGGGCCCGCCATGGGGTTTCGCGGCCATCTTACTCCTGGGCTCTCTTGGGGCGTCGGGGTGCGGGCTTTCGTATTGCCTTAGAGACGAGTCGGGGCCCTCTTGGGGTCTCATTGGCCGCCTTGGAGGAGTCCTGGCCGTTCCTGAGCCGTCGAGGGTACAGCGAAGCAACTGGAGGGGTGCCTTGGCGGTGCCAGCGGCTCCTTGCTGGTAGGGAGAGGCCCTGAGAGAACTACAGTAGCCCAGCCAGACAGCGCAAGCATCGCACCACGCCTCAACACACAAGGGGGCTTGTTGACAGGTCTGAACTGGAGGAATAGGCCCAAGGAGTTTAAGGAGGAAAGGGGATGAGAAGGCGTTGGAGAAGGCACGGCTAGGAGGATTACGATTGACGAGGAGCAGAGAGCGTTCGGCCAGCGATGCCTCGAACTCGCACATGAGAAAGGTTGTGTTCAACCCAGCAGGTGATGCCTGATATTCGAAGCTGGCCAGAAGCTATCCCCAATGCTTAATTTCCGTCGCTAGGTCTATACATGACGAGAGGTTTGAACAAATTCGGGGCCGTCTTGCACGTTCTGGCTGTCATGAGTTGAGGGGCCCGGAGATGGGGGAAATGCTGAAACGAAACCACGAGCTCAAGAGTTGCCGGGCCAGACTTGGGAACCACAATTCCTTCTCTCAGGCTGCAGTGCGGGCGTCCTCCTCCCCACTGTCCCTGCTCCTCCATCATCTCCCTCCACCTCCTCCTCCTCCGCTTCTCTCCTCCTCTTCTCTCCTCCTCTTTCCTCCTACTCTCTCCTCCTGTTTCCTCTTCATCATCCTCACGGTTCGCAGGAGCTCACAGGAGGGCCGCCGACGCCAGCGGAAACGTGTAGGCAAGGGCACAGCGAGCGGAGGTTCGTAGTCTTGGTGCGGCAGGCCGAAACTGACCCACCTGAAGGGGCGGCGCGATGCTCAGGGCACAGGGACGGAGTTTTCCAAGGTTTGGCCTCGACGTTCGGGTCTGACTTTCGGCTGCGACCCTCGTGATCACCCGGAGAATTTTGGGGTGAAGCCTACCTGGGCTTCGGACCAGGCTCGACGTTCGTTGAGGTCTTCCCATGGGGTTTCATCCGGCGCCCCTCGTACATCTAGGTGTTGTGGAGGCCCCAAAGGGGCTTCGTTCCTTATCGAAGGTCCCTTGTGGACTTCGGCAGTAGCCAGCCGTGGGACCCCTGCATCCCTCTCTCCCTCCGCTCCTCCCCTTCCCCCTCTCCCTTCCGTCCTGCCCCCCCCCCGCTCCGCTTCCCCCCCTCGCCCGATCGTCTTAATAAAGTGGAGCGCGTTCGATGTGACAGTCCCCAGCAGCTCCACGGATGGAGGGCGATGTATTCCGACAGGTTGTTCTTGCCTGTGACGCGTCCAGGTGTCATATCGCTGGGGATTCCTGATAGCTAGACGGGTGGTTCGCGATACGCGTTTGTTTGTCTGGCTTGTATTTTTTCTCGTGCGCACTCATATTGTTCGAACATTATATGGATACCATGGTCGTATCTGCTGCGTCCCAACAGTTGCTTCTACGGTGGACGGGCCCTCTTCAAAGTCTGGCTCTTCGCGTACTTGCTGCGTCTTACGATCCCAAGCGTGTATGAGCTACATGGGTGGGGAGGGCGCTCACTTTCAACGTTTGCCCTCGCCCGAGATATCCCCATTTTAGCTGCTTTGAACAGCTGAGCGTTCCGGCAGTTGTACAGGTGGATAGTGAATTCTTGTCAAAATCGTTTTCTCGCTCGGGTGCCACGCTCATGTTTCCACGCCACGCCACTCCCATCATCATGGATGAACTGTGTGCGCTCTGTCGCGCTACCCGGTCGAATATGGATATGACCTTTGACACGCAGGTTTGGTTCATAGGTATCTCACCGTGCGGACCCATGTTGGCTGCACCTTTTCAACGGCTCCCCCCTCCTCGCCCTCTTTCTTTCACCCTTCTCCTCTCCATCCCCTTGTCCCCTGGCTTGACAGCACGTGTAGGCTCCAAGGTACGTTGATCCCCGCGAGAGTTGTTCGCCTGCTTCTCTTGCTCTCCCTTCCCTCCCCTTCTCTGGTATTGGAGTTCGGCCGAGGTGCGAGCAGGGCTCCTTCTGCCGTAGGCGCGAGGGGTGGGAGGTGGAGAGGGGGGGAGCGGGACGGTTGCGCAGGTGGGCGTCATAGGAGGGACGCTGCATTGAGGAGCAGGAGGGCGAACAGGAGAAGCAATAGTGGATGAGATGGGACTGATAACGTTGAGCAGGATGGCGCGGCTAAGGACCTCTCTCTATCTCTCTCTCTCGCTCTCTATTTTGAAGTCTCTCTTTCTCTCTCTCTCTCCCTCTTTCCCTTTCTATCTTGTTTCTTGTCTATTCAAAGATATCGGAGGTTGGGGGGTGAGATCGCAGTGTAACGGAGTCCCCCCACCGGGAAATCGAGTTTCGAGTTGGTGCTCGTGCCGTGCGTGCGGGCGAGGCGAAGCTGCGTGGGCCAGCGAGAGGAATTCACTCTGCTGTCGCTAGGGGTCCGCCAACACAAATGTTTCCCCCCTCGGCCTTGTCAAGCGGTAGCCCACGTTGTCCCGTCGGTTGCCCGTCGGTTGTCCCGTCGGTAGCCCACGTTGTCCCGTCGGTTGCCCGTCGCTTGGGCGACACAAGTCGCCCAAGCGAAGGAACAAACAAAAATCCGCCACGTCATCCACACCATCGCCCATCAGCACCACGTTCATCACAGTTGTCGTCATGAGCCACCCCCCTCCCCCCACCCCCCCACAACCTCCTTATCACCCGCAGGGTGGTCGTATAGGTACACCTGTATCGTTCTCTCGTTCTCTCTTTCGCTATATTTCTGTATCTCTGTCTCTGTCTCTTGCTCACTCTCTCTCTCTCTTTCTCCCTCCCCCTCTCTTTCTCCCTCTCTCCCACCGCTCATTCCATTCGTACGTATTTTCTTCAGTGATCAGGTCGGGTACCTCTTCTTGGAAAGCCTGAGCCCTTCACATTGCGAGTGATGAGTCGTGCCTGGTTGCACTGTGCTTTGAGACGGCGGTCGGCGCTTCCCGAGTCGTCCGCGAAGACGCTTTCAGCTTCGCTGCATGTGTTACCCGCTAACTGCCAGAGCTGCCCAGCAGCACGTCGGACCCGCAAGGGGCCGCAGATCTGTCCAGCGCCCAGACGCGGCGCGCTTCAGGTCTCAGAAAGATACCGTCTCTGCGGCGAGCAATTCTGAGTGGTCCTCCTGTGCTCTCTGAGGTCCTTGGGCTTCCCCAGGGCCCTCCGTGTCCACCCAGGCTGTAGTGGTTTACTTTGGTGCCTCCCTTACCGCCTCTGGAAGCCTCCATTGGGTATATCCGTATAGGCTTCGCCCTCTCCCGTCGGCCCCCTCTCTATCACAATGGGTCCTGTAGGAGTTATTTTGGGATGCCTGGGCGCCGTCGCGAAGCAACATTGAAACCTCATGCGAGGGCGATTGGTAATCTTCAAGGCACAATGGGACCCAGACGATTTTGTTGAACTCTGCTTTCTTGTCGAACTTCCCGTCATGCTGTGTATTGGAGGCCCTCTTGGAAAGGCTGGAGGCTGCTTGAGGCGACGTTGGGCAACATCGCGCGGCTTGGACGGTCTCTGATTTTCTTTTGAATATTTTCCCACGAGCAGTGTCTTTAGGGGCGCGAATGCGGCGCACGTGATTTGCTAGGGATCGTGGCCTCGGGGGGCGCGAGCACGGCGTAATTCATTAGAGATCGTGGCATCGACGCGGACTTTGCTCAATTTACAGAAATACTCGTGGCCTCGGGGGCACCAATTCAATACAATTTACAATGGGTCGTGGCCTCGGGGGCGCGAATCTTGTAGAATTGTCGAGGGATCTTGGCCGTGGGGCCGCGAACATCGTGTACTTTACATGGGATCGTCGTGGCCTCGGAGGCGCGAGCATCGCGTAATCTACCAGGATCGCGGCCTCGGGAACGCGAACACAGCGTATTTCGTTAAGGATCGTGGCCGTGGGGACGCGACCATTGTGTAATGTATGAGGGATCGTGACTTTTGGGGTTGTAATTTGCTTGGAATCGTGGCCTCGGGGACGCGAATCTTTGAATTTACTGAGGAACGTAGCCTCAGAGACGCGAGTGCGGCGCAACTTGCAAACGATCATGGCCTTGTGGACGCGCATATGGCGCAACTTACAAAAAGGATCGTGGCCTCGCAGACGCGAAGATTGCATAATTTATCAGGGGTCGCGGCCTCGGGAACGCGAATCTGGAGGAGTATTTTACACGAGATCGTGGCCTCGGAGGCGCGAACATGGTGTAGTTGTTGTAGGTATCGTGGCCTCGGGGACGCGGATATTGCTCGATTTGCAAGGGGTCGTGACCCCTTTGGCGCGAGGATAGTACAGTCTTCGAGGGGTCGCGGCCGTGGGGGCGCGAACATTTCGTTATTCACGAGGGATCGTGGCCTCGCAGACGCGATGATTGCGTAATTTACCAGAGGTCGTGGCCTTGGGGACGCGAATATGGAGGAGTATTTTTCACGGGATCGTGGCCTCGGAGGCGCGAGCATGGTGTAATTGTTGTAGGGATCGTGGCCTCGGGGACGCGGGTATTGCTCGATTTGCAAGGGGTCGTCATCCCTTTGGCGCGAGGATAGTAAAGTCTTCGGGGGGTCGCGGCCGGGGGGACGCGAAAATGTCGTTATTCACGAGGGATCGTGGCTTCGGGGGCGCGAATCTCGAGTATTCTTACGTGTCCCACGGATCCGCAGGAATTGAGGCTTTGGTCATGGTAAAAACATTGGTTTCGGGCTCCCCCCATCGCGTGGTCAGTAACAACTTGCAGTGGGAAGTAGACAGTAAGACTAGAACATGGGAGACTTGAAACTGGGACTGGCGCAGGGAGCAGCAAGCCTAATCCGCGCAGCCCGACGGCCCCACGAGGAGGCCGGCGGATTTGTGCTGTCGACAGGGGACAAGGATGTTTGTATGACTTTTGGAAGAACCATGGGGTGGAGTCACCGCCTGGAGGTTCGCTTTGGACCTCGTGAGCCTGTCGCATAGCTCCTGTACGTTGGGAATCTTCAGGGTCCCGTGCGTTTGGAGACCCCGGGATCCCGTGCCAGAGCTCTGGGGGACGAGAGCAGATCGGGCTCCGGGCCGATCGCCAGCTGCGCTAGTAGCAGTGGAAGCGAATGGGACCCACCTCCCGAAGTAGGGGGACCAACAATGACATAGACATAACAACTTGGAGGTACGCGCGGACCTCCGAGTTGTTATGTCTCTGTTATTGTTTGTCCTCCGTACGAAGGTACCGCAAGTACGTCGAGCGGATATCGCAGTCCGGGGAGTACGCGCACCTCCTCGACCCAGGCTCCATCGCACTGGAGGGGCAGACGCTGCACGCCAAGATCCTGTCCACCGCAGGCACTTCGCCCAGGCCGCTTCAGCTGCGGGCGAGCTTCTTCAAGGATGGAGCCGAGGGAAGCTGCGGCATAGCCCGCCTGAGCATCAGAGAGGACGACGCGGGCCTCTACCCGCGATTCCAGGTCCGAGAAGGTGACGTCGTAGTGGCAGGCCTGGTGCCCGACGAGGTCACGTTGACCACCTCTTTGGAAGACGGCACGTCTCTGTTGAAAGCAGCAGGCCCTGGCGACTGCTCGCTGCTGCTGAGGCATCGCCCGCTCGAGGTGGCCATCTCCGCCGGGGGCCACGTGCTGCAGCGGCTGAACGAGCGGCACCTGCTGAACTACGAGCAGTACCGTGCCAGGGCAGACCCTCCGAGGGGCAAGCTGGTGGATGCCACGGACGTGGATGCGGAGGGCCTCTGGGAGGAGTCCTTCGGGGATTTTGTGGACACGAAGCCGCGAGGTCCCGCGGCGGTCGGCCTGGACGTGTCGTTCGAGTCGGCACCCACGATTGTGGGTCTCGCGGAGCACACGGCCAGCCTCCACCTGGCCAAGCCTCGGTTCGCAGAGCCCTACCGGCTCTTCAACCTCGACGTCTTCGAGTACGAGGTGAACGTTCCAGCGTCCATATACGGGAATATACCCTTCGTCACAGCCGTGCACGTTTGGCCAGGCGAAGAGCCTCCTTCGGCCTCGGGCTTCATGATCGTGAACCCATCAGAGGGATTTGTCAAGGTCGACGGGCCCAAGGCCGAAGCAGGGCGCACCTCGACCTGGTGGGCTTTTGAGTCTGGTATACTTGACATGTTCTCCTTTGCAGGTCCGTCACCGCAGCAGGTACTCCAGCAGTACCATTCCGTCACTGGGCTGCCGCGGATGCCCCTCCTGGCGTCGCTTGGGAAGCACCAGTCCCGCTGGAACTACGTCGATGTGGACGATGTCATTAAAGTAGACATGGACTTCGACAAGCACTCTATCCCGTACGACTTCATCTGGCTCGACCTCGAGCACACAGAGGGCAAGAAATATTTTACTTGGGATCCGAAACACTTCGCAGACCCAGGTCGAATGATGGACAGGCTGGGCCGCAGTGGCAGAAAGGTGGTGACCATTGTTGACCCACACCTCAAAGGGGATGACGCATACGTCCCGTACCTCAGGATGAAGGAAGCTGGCGTCTTCACCAGAGGGCGCAACGGGACGGAGTACGAGGGCTTCTGTTGGCCTGGGCCCTCCTACTACCCAGACTTCTGCGACCCTGCCGCGCGACGCGTGTGGGCGGAGTTGTTCTCTCTGGACACCTACCCGCACAGCCGACAGGACTTGTACACCTGGAACGACATGAACGAGCCCAGCGTGTTCGACGGACCAGAGATCAGCATGCCGCGAGACAACCTGCACAAGTGCCACGGGAACGACTTCGCAGTCGAACACCGGGACATGCACAACCTCTATGGCTTCTACCACCACCAGGCCACCGTGGAGGGGCAGTTGCTACGGGCGCCTGACCTGCGGCCCTTTGCGCTCACGAGGTCCTTCTTTGCGGGCTCGCACCGGCATGGTGCAGTGTGGACTGGCGACAACCACGCCAGCTGGGAGCACCTGGCCGCCTCTGTGCCCATGCTGGTGTCCCTGTCCCTTTGTGGGATGTCCCTGGCTGGCGCAGACGTGCCCGGGTTCATGGGCGACCCAGGCCCAGACTTGTTCCTGCGCTGGCACCAGCTCGGCATTTGGTATCCCTTCTACCGCGGCCACGCGCATCTCACGACGAAGAGGCGCGAGCCATGGCTCTTCGGACACTCACGGCGGCTTAAAGCGCGGGGGGATTGTCCCCCCCCCCCCCCCCCCTGTCGCGAACACGTGCGCCAGTTTCCCCCGCAGCAGGCGCTGTGCCATCGTAGAAGGAGGAGAAAGAGGAGAGGAGGAGGGGGGGAGGAGGGAAAGGAGGGAGAGGAGGAGGAGGGAGGAAGGAGGAAGGGAAGAAGGGGGAGGAGGACGGAGAAGGGAGGAGGAAGACGAGGATGAGGATGATGATGCGGAGGAGGGATGATGATAATGATGCTGATGCTGATGCTGATGGTGCTGGTGATGGTGATGGTGATGGTGATGATGATGATGATGTTGATGATGATGATGATGATGATGATAATGGTGATAACCGTGATGATGACGATGAATAGAATAGGAAAAAGACGATAAGGAGGAGGAGGGAGGAGGAAGGCGAGAGAACTAGGGGGAGGAAGAAGAAGGAGGAGAGATGATGGAGATGATGATGATGATGATGATCATGATGCTGATGATGATGATGCGTATGATGCTGATAATGGTGATGATACTGATGCTGATGATTATGATGATGATGATGATGATGATGATGATGATGATGATGATGATGATGGTGATGGTGATGGTGATGGTGATGGTGATGGTGATGGTGATGATGACGACGATGATGATGCTGATGCTGATGGTGGTGATGATGCTGATACTGATGCTGATATTATTGATGATGATTGTAGTGCTCACGATAATGAAGGTGGCGATGCGGATCAGGGATCTGATTATGATAGTACTTGTAACGGCATGGTGACGATGATGGCACTGATGACGGTGATGATGATGATGTTGATGCTGATGCTCATGATGAGGATGATGCTGATGGTGATGATGATGGTGGTGATGGTGATGATACTGTTGATCATACTGGTGATGGTTATGACGATTGGGTGGATGCTGATGAGGATCATCATTATTATGATGACGATGGAGATGCCGATGACGGCGATGATTCGTTTGATGATGCATCGTTTTCTATAGTGACGATCCTTAGTGGTGGAACGCCACGGTCAGGGTATCACTCTCATAGAAGGCGGAAAGCCGTGGCCCACATGCCACCCACCGTTAAAGAGGTTGGGAGACCCTTCTGGTCACATCCGTCACTGAATCATGAGGCAAGCCCGATGGTTTCCGAGATTCCCGAGTAGGGCCCCAAGGCCGCCCTCCGTCAAAGATGAAGTGAGGCTGGCCGGTCACATCCATCGATAACCCATGATACATCCCCAATCGATTCCCAGATTCCCGAATAAGGAGATTGGGCCGCCCCACCCAGAAGGATTGAGACCCGCGCGGCCAGGCCAGACGGGAACTGAGGAGTAGTAGAGGAGTGCGTAGGCAGAGCGGGATCTTCGTCCCGTCCCCTCCCTTCCCCACCTTCCTCCTCTCGCTCTCCCGCAGAGGTCACTCATCTTTCCTTCCTAGCGGGCGCTGGCCAGCCTGAGCACTCGAAGGTGAAGGTAAACACATACATCGACACGGCCTCCTGCTCCTCCGCCTCGTCCAGGCGGAGCAGGAGAAGGATGACGACGATGATGTTTGAGGAGGAGGAGGAATTTGAAATAGGTAATGGGGGCAACTCGATGGCACTGAGGAAAAGCGGATGATGAGGAGGAGGATGATGATGACGATGTTGATGACGATGATGATGATGATGATGATGATGATGATGACGATGATGTTGATGATGATGATGATGATGACGACGATGACGATGATGCTGGTAGTGGTGGTCGTGGTGGTGATGATGCGGTCGTGGAAAGGATGATGGTGATCAGGATGAGGACGGGGATGATGATGATAATGATGATGATGATGATGGTGGGGAGGAGGATGCTGATGCTGATGATGATGCTGATGATGTATATGATGATTAGTATGATCATGCTGATGCTGATGACGATGATGCTGATGATACAGATGCTGCTGCTGATGATGATGATGACGACGGTGAAGATGATGCTGATGATGAAGATAACTATGATGATGATGATGCTGATGATGATGATGATGATGATGATGATGATGATGATGATGATGATGATGATGAGGTTGATAACGATGATGATGATGCTGATGATGATGATGATGATGATGATGATGATGATGAGGAGGCGGAGGAGGAGGACGAGGAGGAGGAGGAGGAGGGGAGCAGGAGGGGGTGGAAGACGAGGACGTGGATGAGGACGTGGATGAGGATGCTGCTGCTGATGATGATGATGACGACGGTGAACATGATGCTGATGATGAAGATAACTATGATGATGATGATGATGATGATGCTGATGATGATGATGATGATGATGATGATGATGATGATGAGGTTGATAACGATGATGATGATGATGATGATGATGATGATGATGATGATGATGATGATGATGATAATGAAGATGATGACGACGACGATAACGATAATGATACTGCTGATGGTAATGATGGTGTTTGTGACAGCGATGACGATAACGATGAGAATCACGACGACAACGATGGCGATGCTACTGACGTTGATGATGGTGTTCATGATGATGATGCTGCTGATGGTGATGATACTAATGATGATTATGATGAGGATGATGATGATGATGGTGATTGTGTTGGTGCAAGTGATGATGGTGGTGATGCTGATGTTGATGCTTGTGGTGATGCTGATTATGATGCTGCTGCCGCTGCTGATGATGCTAATCATGAGGATGAGGATGATCATGGCGACGCTGATGCTACTGATGCTGCTGATGGTTCTGTCCATGCTGATGATGATGCTGACGGTAACGACTATGATTGTGATGAGGGTGCTGTTGCTGCTGCTGTTGATTATATTGCATGCGACAGTGTTGATATTGATGGCTGCGATGATTGCGATGTCGATGACGATGACGATGGTAATGATGATGTCCCGCGCCGCACAAGGGTCTCGCGAGCGTGCGGCGGCTGCCAGCGCAGCCGCCGGCAACCCTTAGTAGTAGTCAGAAGGGATACCAGCTCCTCCACTCGCTGGCCTGGGCGACTTCAGGTGCTGCCAGAGCGGCGGCGGCGATTATCAGCGTGCACATCAACGCGGGCTGCGCTTCGGCAGCCGTCGCGAGCGGGGAGGCGGCCGGTACCTGGGGGGGTGCACACTTGCAGGCGCGCGGCGTGACGCTTCCTGGAAGCGTCGTTCTTGGGCGGGCGCTCCGCGGGCAGCCGTAACCGCTTGCGCTGGTTCGAGAGCGTGGCTACGCCGAGGCGCAGCGCCGCCAGGCCCCTCCGCGCTTCGCGCACCCGCTGCCATGAGCGAGATCCTGGTGGGCGAGGCGGTGCTTGCTGCAGGGGGGTTCCAGTCTGGGCACGGGGATTTGAAGAAGGCCAGTGCAGCCGGCAATGGCCTGAATGTGCCCGTGGTGCTGCTGAAGTTGTCCGCGGCGGCCGCGCTCGTGCTCTGCGAGGCCACTGGGAGCGGGGTGAGATGCAGGTGTAGGACGGCCGCTGGCCGAGCAGCGCGGCGCTGGAGGAGATCGCGCTGGCTCTGCCGCCGAAGGTGGCCGCGCGGCAGATCTTGGCGAAGATGGCTTACGCCCCAGCCCCGCTGCCCACCCCTGTCTCCCTCTCGCTAGGCGAGCTGAGTCCAGCGCCTGGGGTCAGCCTGGAAGACAGCCCGTGGGCTGGGCTCTTGCGTGTACAGTCGTAGGCGCCGCCTGGGCCGCAGCCGAAGAAATCCCAGGCCCACGGCGATCCGACGCCCTGAGGGCCCGACGGCCAGCCCGCGCTGGGCCGCGTCACAGCACCAGGGAAAGAGGCAGCCTACCCGCCGTCCGCGCGGGCACGAGTCCACGCTCGCCCGCTTGGCGGCCGCTCAGCTGCTCCCCGCAGGCCCTCGTCTGGCTCGTCGCCGACGACGTCCAGGTCCTGGGGATAGGCTCGGAGAGGGAGTTGCTCAAAATCGGTCCCGATGCGTCGCACCTTTTGATGAGCAAGCTGACTTTCTCGGCATGTTTACCGCTCTCCGAGAAGAAAATCGTGCTCTTGGCTACCGACCCCCAGTTGGCCCAGAGCGTCGCAGCTGAAACTCCACGTCTCGCTGGTGCTGTCAAGTTCTCGTGTCGCAACCTCGGGATTGACTACCAGTTACGTAAGGGGCGTCGTTCTCGTACCGTTCTCACTGGTCGATTAAAAAAGGCCAGTTTTAAGGCCCGACGCCTACTGAAGATAAAGAAGGCTGGTGCAAAGGTTGCAGGTATTGTTAACACTAACTTGCGGCCCACTGTCATGTACGGCATTGATGTCGTTGGTCTATCTGCTCATCAGATTCGTCAGGTTCGTGCTATATACCACGCTGGTCTCGGCACAGGTAAGCGTAGGTCTGTCACGATGGATTTGGCGTTGCACGGTGTTACCGACCCTGCTATTGACGCGCATGCCGATGTTATTCGCCTCTGGACCGTCTCTAGATGGGACTCTCTTCTTCCCGTCGGAATGATAGACCAAGTTTTCCAGTTTGCCTACGCCAAGGTGACGCCAGATACCCCGTGGACTGAATTACAGGGCCCAGGACAGATTTTGGTTGCCACTATGCTTAGAATTGGGTGGTCTGCGGTTTCGCCCACATTATGGCGAACTTCTCTTGGAACGGAGGTTGATATTTCGTCTACTTCCCCTCGTGAAGTGGTTGCACTAGTGATTCGCGACGCGTCTGTTTGGGCTTGGAAACAGGCCTCTGAGCGTCACCCATCCTTCAGTCATCTGTCTGGACCCCCCTTTCTCCCCCCTCTTCTTTCTTTGTTGTCTAAAAAGGCTGAAGGATGGGGTGTCCTCCAGCAACGTGCTCTGAGGACTTTTATATCTGGGGGCATATACTTTAAACCTATGTGCCCCATTTGCCAGGTTGTCCCTTCTGACCCCGTGTTTCACACCCTGTATGAGTGTGATGGGCTTGTGGAGTTTCGTCGTTGGTTCGGCCCGACTCCTGCCCTCGCCCGTTGCATAGAGCAGTACCGCGAGAACCCTGTCTGGACCACTGCCATGGTTCCCGACCCGCGCTATTGCTCCCTGCTGGCACCACCTTTCCCAGACCCTGTCTGGGAAGGGGCCGCAGACGGCCCCTTTTTCTCGTCGCCTGCGTACGGAGACGGCTCGGGAAAGCATGGTCTCTCGCCGCTCACTCTCCGTTGTGGATGGGGTGTTTGCTCATTTGCTCCGCGTAGTCGAAATGTTTTTGGTGAGCCCGTCGCCAATGATCGGGTTCGGCTTAGTGCTGGTGCCTATGGCGTATATCCATTTCTCACCCAGGATGTTTCAGGGGCTGAGTTTTACGCGTTTTTGTTTTATCTAACCCATGCTGCCCCCTCCGACTGTTATGAGTTTGTCACTGATGCCCAGTATGCCGTCGACGGTTGGGCAATGGGGTACGAAGCTACCACGCACGGATGGGCCACTCACGCATCCTTGTGGGTCCGTGTCCACCGTGCGGCTTCAGATATCGGGTATCACCTAATTAAGGTCACCAAGGTTCGTGGCCACTCTTCCTCTGTGGGTAATAAGCAAGCCGACAGACTTGCTAACCTAGGTGCAGACCTACACACTCTGGACACGGTACTGCGCGACCGTATCAAGCGCTCTGGTGTGCTGGTGCGCAATCTTGGTGTGTATATCGGTCACTGTATAGCATGGATTTTTAAGAATGTGCCCACAAAGGTCTGGGCGGCGGAGTTTGATGAGTCCCCTGCCCCCACGGCCCCATCCCTAGTCCTCTCTGGTGCCTCCCCTGGGGCCTTGCATGAGCGCTTCTGGGACCCCTCAGCGGGTCGTTTTCGATGTGTGAATTGTTGGGCTAGTTCAGTCTCCAAGAGCTACTTATTGCGTTCGCAGTGCTCTTCTCCCACTGGTGGTGGGCACGTGCCCAGGCGGCATCATAGTTTGTCGACGATGTGGCCGCTACTCTTGCAAGAAGGCAGTTGATTTAACTAAATCATGCACTGGGCCCCCTCGGGCCTCTGGCACCATCTCACGGCTTCGGCGCATGTGTGATGGTCGTGACCCCCGCACTGATCAACCAGTCGGTGAGGTAACTGCGGTTGACAACGTCAACGTTATATATGCTTTTCCTGCCCCTCACGATGTCTTTAATTTTCAGGCATTGTTTGATCCTGCATGGCTTTTAGAGGCTCCGTAGATTTCTCGGGCTTCGGAGGAGGGGTGGATGTATCCTGGGTTATCTGGTTTGTCTCGTCTGTCTGATGCTGGCAGGACTACTCGGATCCCCGACACCAGCCGCCAGTAGTGTTGTTCTGCAGTACTCCCTTTCCTGGCCGCTACAGAGGGCAGCTTCCAGGAAGTAGGGTAGCCTTGGGATAAGTGGGTACAGAGGCGCTGAGAAGCAGGCGCCCGTTCCGCCTGCGCCCACTTATCCCGTCTGTGTTCTTGCCATCCATCCCCTGGCCAGGCTCGCAAAGAGAGAAGACTCTCGCCTGCCCGCCGCGCGGGGATTTTGCACGCCTCTTTGCGCGCCTCTCTGTCTGTGCTTTCTCTCTTACAGTTGGACAGTCGGACAGTAGGGTAGGATTGGGATAAGTGGGTACAGAGACGCTGAGAAGCAGGCACCCGTTCCGCCTGCGCCCACTTATCCCTTCTGTGCTCTTCTCATTCCTCCCCTGGCCAGGCTCGCAAAGAGAGAAGACTTTTGCCCGCCCGCCGCTTGGGGATTTTGTGCACGCCTCTCTGTCTGTGCTTTCTCTCTTACCGCTGGACAGTCGGACAGTAGGGTAGGCTTGGGATAAGTGGGTACAGAGGCGCTGAGAAGCGGGCACCCGTTCCGCCTGCGCCCACTTATCCCTTCTGTGCTCTTGTCATTCCTCCCCTGGCCAGGCTCGCAAAGAGAGAAGACTCTTGCCCGCCCGCCGCTTGGGTTGTTTCTGTGCATGCCTCTCTGTCTATGCATTTTCTCTACAGTCGGACAGTCGGACATAGGCTAGGCTTAGGATGAGTGGGTACAGAGGCGCTGAGAAGCAGGCACCCGTACCGCCTGCGCCCACTCATCCTTCATGCGCTCCTTTTGCCCCCCCCCAGCCCAGGCTCGCGAAGAGAGGAAGGGCTCTCCGCCGCCTTGCTGGTCTGTTGTATAATGCGCTGCCTGGCAGGTTGAGGCTAGAAGCCCAGGAGCCAGGACGCGGGCTTCAAATTGTCTCACCAGTCTTGCCAGCATCGCGTGTTTCGGGCCCTCGATTTTTCGTTGTCCCTGTTTGCTCGGGTCGGTCCCTCGCTCGGCTCTGTTCGGGTCCTGGTCCGTCCCTCGCTTCTTTCGGCCCTTCTTCGGGCCCCTCGCTCGTCTTTTCGGCGCCACGGGCAGGAGTGTTCGGCAGACGATCACCCGCGCGCAAATAAAAAAAAACGGGACGCAGGCGCAGCCCGCGCCGGCGCGCTCCAGAGCAGGCGCGCCGCGAGCCACAACGGCTTCGCTGCAGCGCGACGTCTCGGAGCTCAGGGGCGGTCTCGTCTCCACACCGGGGCCGCTGGGCGAGCTGATGCGCCGCGCTGACGCAGCCTCCGCCTGCGGCCGACCGCCGCTTTGCCCTGGCCGCCGCCACGAACGCGCCCCAGCCGTCGCCGCGGCGCCCGCGGGTCCTGCGGACGCCGCCCGAGTCTGCGGGAGGCCTGCGCGGATCGGCCGGGCTGCAGGAGCGCCGCCGATACCGCGCCTCGGGCAGGCCGTGGGCGGCCCGCAGGTACCCGCGGCCGCCGCCCTTCCCCCTTTGCTCGAGCACGTCGAGCCAGCAGGCACGGAGCGAGACTCGATCTGGCGGTGCGCTCGGGCCAACTACGCGACTTTTCACCGAGCGCCGTCCGATTCGATCTCCAACGGCGAGGTGGAGCGCTCAACGGCCAGCCTGGCTGCTTCACTTCCCCTACCTACTCCATCTTCCTCCATGCCAGCCCCACTAACTCTCTCTCTCTCGCTCTCGCTCTCTCTCTCTCTCTCTTTGCCTCTCTTTGCCTCTCTCTCTGCCTTTCTTGCGCCCCCCGTGTTTTTTGTTGTCTCTCTCTCTCTCTCTCAGAAGGTGAGGAATATGATGATGAAGAGGATGGGTGCAGGATGATGTAGGGCGTAAGAAGGAGTGTGGGATGAGGGGAGGGGATAGAGGAACGAGTCGTAGGAGGAAGAGAAGGGATGATGATGATGATGACGATGAGGAGGAGGAGGAGGAGGACCTGTGTAAACCCAGACTCATCAACGATGTTGCAATACACCCTCCGAGCTCCCTCTTCATAGGCCCCTACAAAAGTTCATTTTCATCGAGGGAACCGAACTGCCACATTGGACGACAAACGACGCTTCAACATCCGGAATTGTGCCATAACGCCATTCTTGGGAGTTCAGCACCGCGAATCACCGTTTTTGTTGCGTCTTGACGACCCTGAATCGTGCCAGAACACCGCTCCGGCCTCCCTCGACTTCAACTTCGCGAATCATCTTGACTTTTGCGCCGTGACATTCCGAAATCGTGCCAAAACATCAATTTGGGGACGTTTGTGATAATCCTTTGGAGTTGTTGCAAACTCTTGAAATGAATGTGCGCGGTGCTAAGGCGAGAACCACATTTTCAAAACGAACCGCTCTCCATTCGTGAAGCTCTTGCAGCTTGTTGAAACGAATGCGCGCGGCGCTAGAGCGAGAACCACATTTTGAAAGCGGACCGCCTTCTTTCTATGAGTATCGGGCCCTTTTGAAACGATTGTGCGTGGCACTAACGCGAGAACCGAATTCTGAAGCAGGCCGCCCTCCGTCCATGAAGCTCTTGCAAATTTCAAGCTTCACGATCATTCGTGGAGAGAAAGTCTCAGGTCAAACGTCCGGCCCGCTCTTTCGAAGGGCCTCGGGGTGCGACAGGGATGATCTATCATTTTATACATAATGATATTTTGTATGCGTGTATGTATGCCCTAATGGTCGTGCTCGGTGCCGTGCGGAGACGCGGCAATGATATGTTGTGCCGTACTAAAGGTGCGGTGTGAATATGCGGGGAGGTTAAAGGTACCTGCCTCATTTAACCCTTAAGATGGGGGTAGAGGGTTGCTGCCCGTGCGAGGACGACGGGAGCTGGAGTGGGCCTCGGCCACTTTGGTTCAAGCCTTATTTCAGGGAAGAACGAAATCCTCACCATGGGCCTGATTCGCCCATGGTAGCGGAGCCCGTGGTCTAGTCCACGGGGGTCTGGCGCGCCGCGATTGTTGGACGAAGTTCAGTTTCGAGATTTGCACGAAGATCGATTTCCAGAATCCCTGACGTTTGAATTCGAATGAGTTCAACTTCGAGTACGATGCATGTTTAACTTCACGAAGTCATGTGTGATCCTGGCGGGCCGTTGCCATTGGTTTACACCAAATTGTTGGGAGAAGCGAAGGTTTATTCAGGTAATCGTACGGACTGGCTTCAGTGGAAGTTTGTTTTCACGGCCTATACCGGCGCGTTGGGCGGCGATTTGTTGGGGAGCCTGGAGCAGGCAGAGCGCCAGGTCAATCCTACTCCAGTGCAGGAGCTCAAGGAACTTTGCCGTGGCAGCAGCAGGATGTCGGCTTTCATGCTATCGCAGGTTCTCATGGACCGTTCGCTTCAGCTGGTGATGCATGTTCCCGTTTATTACGGCTTGGTGGCGTGGCCTTTGCTCGTTCGCCATGACGAACCGTCGACACGAGCCGTTCAAATCACACAGATCATGGATAGTCTCAACACGAGGTTCGATGGCGGTCCCACCAAGTGCGCTGAACAGTGGGAGATGTTGGAGAGTAGGTTCTAGACGTGCGAGAATCAGCATAACGAAAGGCTTTCGGGCACGGTCAAGCAGGCAGTTTTGAAGCAGAACGAGCCATCAAGTATCAAGGCTCGGGTGGGCCTGCATGCGTTCGTCTCAGCAGAGTTCGCTCAAGGAGACGATGTCGAACTACATGCAATCGCAGGTGCGTGCGTCAGGGGCGAGCTCAGGACCAGCACCCGTGGACATCGGTACATTCACAAAGGCAAGGACAAAGGGAAGGGCGCGAGCAAAGGTGGGGACAACAAGAGCAAGGACAATACCGACGCTAAAAAGGAGAACGCGCGTGGAAATGAAGGCGGCAAGGGCAAAACTCAAAACGGAAAAGGATATCAACGTGTAAGTTGTCATCGCTGTGGGCAGCGAGGACACTGCGCGCGTAACTGTAGGCAGGCCCCAGGTATTGCCCACAACGGCGTTGCAGGAGAACAACAGGGTGCAGCGCAGGGCAATTCCCAGACGCCAGCACAGTCTCAATCCAGTGAGATTGGAGTTGTCTCTGGGATAGCCGGCGGCGAGTGGATCTTCATGACAAGTCAAGCGGCTATCGTGGCCGTTGGAGGCTTCGACGAGAACCCATTGTTTGACCGTGGGGCGCGTGCGCACGTGGCGCCCAAGGAGCATGCCAAGCATGTGGAGATGACCGACATGATCAAGGAGCCAGAGTCGCCCTTAGCTGCTGTTAAGAAGATTAGAGTGTATGGGCAGCGACTGGTCCCGCTCAGGGTCGCGACCGAGTGCGGGGAGGTGCTGAAGGTTGCGGTTCCGTTTGCGATCGCGGATGTTCGGGGGCCGTTGATTTCGGTTGGCGAGCTCGCGGACAGAGGCTGTATGTTTCAGTTTGGAGCTCGCAGATATATGTCCAAAGATGGCTGGCAGTTCAGATGCCCAGGGTGGGGCGCGGGTGCCGCCTAACAGGATTGGACGGGTCCGATGTTATCAAGGACCAGAGGTCGGTCGAGAAGATTGTTAGTCACCTTGCTTCGATGTCGAATCCGTCGGGAAGTCCTACGGGAGGTATCACCGAGAGCGGAGAAGTTCAAGTGCCAGTGGATGCGGCGGAAGCAGTTGCGACGCGAGCCACGGTTCTTCCGAGCGTCGAGGATCAGGGGGGGCATGACCTTGCCCATGTTCCGTGCGCGCCGTGGTGCGTCAGTTGCGTTATTGGTCGAGGTCAAGAGGAAGCGCACCGACGACGTCACGGAGCAGCTTTATTTCCGAATCCAGTTTTTGGCACGGCTTGTTATTTTCTGGCTTTGGAGGATCGCGACGCGGAGACAGTTGCAATCTTGGCGATTCAAGACGGCGTTTCGTCGCGCGCGGGTGCGGCTCAGGTGCCAGCGAAGGGCCCTACTCCATATGCAGTGGCGTTTCTTAACAGCTACTCGGATGAGCTGGGTTTCTGTTAGGGTTGCCATGCAGAGCGATGGCGAGCCATCTATTCTGCGCTCGGGAGGTTTTGGTCAAGGCGCGTAGCAGGCAGGCCAAGGGCATTCGTATTCAGATTTCATTGCGGCAATCGGCGCCAGGTTCGCATGGCAGCAACGGTTTAGCAGAGGCATCAGTCAAGGTTACCGAGGGCCTGGCGAGGACAGTGGCACGCGCTGTTCAACAGAAGTATCGCGTTGTAGCCGAGGGCGATTCTGCCATTCTAAGCTGGTTCGTGAGACGGGTTGCTTTCGTTCAGGCCAGGTGCCAGTGCGAGCGCCAGGGCAGGGCGGCCTACGCGGATTTTGCGACGGCGAAGTACAAGTCACCGCTTCTCACGTCTGGCGAGCAAGTCTTAGCGGAGATGTCGTGAGTTCCAGACGACCGACTTACACCAGCAGGGCAGATGGGAATAGGGTCTGGGCGTTCAACAGGCACCGACGCGCACGTCGTGGGCTCGGCGCTGGGCATCGTGAAAGTTAGGGCGGTTGAGCAGAGGCCAGAGGAGATGCAGCGGGACAAGGAGGCGTTTGACAAGATGGTGTTTCTTGTGTGGTCGCAGGCAGACTTGGGGGAGGTTCGAGGGGCGCCAGGCTGGGCACCTACAGAGGGGCGTCAGTCACGCCAAGACGACCGAGCACCAGTTCGACGGGTTGGACGACCAAAAGCACATGCTAGGGCGCGTTTGCAGCGACCGGCAGAGTTCAAGCGACAACAGCTCGGAGGACCCGCAGTTGCGCTTTCCGTTCCAGGAGGAGCATCGGCAGCAAGGGCTGCAGCAGCTCCGAGGGCAAGGCCAGCGCGGGCTTCAAGCCAAAAGACGGAAGCAGCTGACCGAGAACCTGGCGGCGGAGAAAAGCGCCCTGGACCGCAGTCACTAAGACCACAGACAGCAGAGAAGGCACAGGACGCGATGCGACCGCCAGGAACGGCATCGAGTTCATCAGAGGCAGCAGCCGCGCCAGCTCCAGGTATCAGGATCTACCGCAAGCGTGCACCTGGCAGCGTCGGCAAACGAGAAGCATAGTTGGGAGCTCAGGTGGCTGGAGGCGTCATGCCGGCCAGGACAGAGGACGTGGAGATGTCTATTCAGGTGGTGGCGGAGCTGAGGCCGAACGAGGAGGGGAACGATGAGCAGATGATCGAGCGCGCGATCGTGAATCGCGAGTTCATCCAATATCATCATAGCGAGGTTCGCCGAATTGAGTAGGCGCGATGAGTGCAAGGCTGAGGAGGGCTTGCACAGGGCAACAGTGGAAGGTCCTTTACTTTCAGTCGCTTGGGTTGGCGAGGCCAGATCGGAGGGGGTAAAGTCGAGGATCTCCGCCGGGCCGTTCAACGCGCCCGAGAAGCCGAATAATGTGCTTTGCGCCCTTTGCGCCGTGTGAGGGCGCTCTACGAGTTCTGCTAGCATTGGCGGCTATCATGAAGTGGAAGGTGAAGTTCTCTGATGCATCGAGGGCTTTTCCACGTGTACTGATTCGGGGGGAGGTCTTCCTCGAGCCGCCAGCCGGGTGCAGACGGCATTGCATCGAGGACTTTGGCGAGGGCCCAGGCGACGTAGTTTGGAGGCTGACTTGCGCGATCTACAGACTCAACGGGGCGATTGTGGATTTCGATGCGCACTGCAGCCAGATCAACGCCGAGACGCTCAATATGAGGAGGTTGGTTTCAGAGCCGAGCGTCTATGCCAGCGAGGCTGCGATGACAGCTGCGGCGGGGCACGTGGATGACGACGTGGTTGTCGGAGAAGGCATTGGGCGCGAGGAGCTTCTAGATGCGTTGGGTGAGCATTTTCTGTTGAAGGTCTCTCCAGGCATGGCGAGAGGCAGAGCTCAGGTACGCAGGGGGCGTTTCGTCTGGAAGCTCACGGACGAGATGGGGTTTTCTATTCGAGTGGCACCCGGGGCGATCGACCGTTTGCTCGAGCACATGGAAGCTCAACATGCGAAGGCTGTGGCGACTCCATGTCTCAAGTCCGAGGCGAAGCAGGAGGGCGAGGGGCCACTCGGCGAGGACGAGGCCAACACTATCGTCGAAGCGAAGGTTGACAGCGACTGGGCTGGGGACAACATTGGGCGGAAAGAGCACTTCAAGCGGGCACGCGCGCCTCGATGAGACGGCGGTTTCAGGCTGCAGCAGGGCCGGGCGAGTCCAGCGGCATCTTCAGCAGAGGCGGAGATCTGAAGCGTGGGATCAGGGGCGCGCGAAGGTTTGTCTGCGGGGTCGTTCGTGGAGCAGCTCTTTCCAGGCGCGCAGATCAGTTTGCAGTTGGAGTCGGACAGTCTGGCAGCTATTTCGTCCCAGAGCAGGCTGGGCTTAGGTGAGCTCGAGCATGTCCACGTGCGTCGCATGTTTCTTCAGGGTCTGTTTCGAGAAGGGCGTTTGGTGATTCATAAGATACCGACCGCGCTCATCAGCAGTGAACTGGGAACCAAGTGTCTTGGTAATGCGGATTTTGAGAAGCATCGGTGGGCTGTGGGTTTACGCGATCGTGATGGCGGAGATGTTCTTGAGGTGTCGGATCGGGTTCAGACTGCAAGAGTTGCTTCGTTGAAGGGTGAAGGCGAGGCTCGACAGGGCCTTGTTCTCTGTTTAGGCGGTTTGCTTACTGCGGTTTGCTTACTATGATCCAGGGAACGGATGCGGCTAGCGAGATTTCAACGATCGAGGCGGTGGGCGGATCGTGGAGCGTTTCGGCTTCGACGCAGATAACGATGATGATGATCCCTCTCATGATTGAGGGTTGATCTTTTACGCGGGTATACGCGTCGGATGCCATATCGGGAAGGCTGACGCCATTTCGAGTCTGAAGAAGGATGGTCCACCTGTTTCTGGAAAGGTATGCGCTGCGACAGCCCAGACCCCCAAGTCATATGTTTCGCCGGAGGGTTGCCCTGACTGTGCGAAGCTATGTGCTGATGGTTTTACGATTACTGCTGTTAGACTGCGTTTGTGCAGGCTCGGCAGCCATCCGAGCGGATGCAAGTCAGAGTTAGCGGAGCGCCTGAAGGCGTTGGAGCCTTGGTGGCGCTAGTGAGGATTTCATGATGCTTGTGAGACTTGATTTGGCGTGCGGTTTGCGCGCGTTTCTCTTGCAAGACGAGCCGGGGCGACCGAAATTATATGAGCGCGGGGTCGGGCGAGGGTTCGACGCGTCTCCGAGGGGGTGTGCGTGTACGTGCGCCCTAGTGGCCGTGCTCGGTGCCGTGCGGAGTCCCAGTAGTGATGTGTCGCGCCGTGCTAAAGATGCGGTGTGAATATGTTGGTAGGTTAAATGTACCTGCCCCGTTTAACACCTAAGCTGGGGGGTAGAGGATTGCCGTGCGTGCGAGGATGAAGACGGGAATTGGAGTGGGCCTCGACCCATTTGGCGCAAGCCCGATTTCAGGGAAGAAACGAATCCTCACCAGGGGCCTGATTTGCTTGTTCTATATATATATACAAACAAGGAAGAGGCATGGCGGGGGTGGAGGAAGACGACGAGGAGGATGAGGAGCAGGAGGAGGACGACTGCTGAAACATTAGCAGGAGGCAGGTTTTTTGCCGCAGGCAGCTTGGGGCTTGGAGGCGGCCCAAAGAGGAGCCCCGTCAACCACTCTCAGGGTGCGTGCGCAAGTCCTGGCAATGGTCGGGCGCAGGGATGGAGGTTGGGCGACGACTACCATTAGGGTGGCCTTCCCCACGGCCAACCTGGACCATTTTTTGGGGGGAGGGGCAGGCCCCGAATGTTTCCAGAGTGTGTTGGTCTTCGACCAGTATTCCAGAGCACCCACAGGAAGGCCCTCGAGCTGGCCAGGCAAAACACGCAGTCTATCGTGGATGGTGCCAGTAATAGATGGGGTAGAGTCAAGAGAACTCTATCCGAGGCCGACATCCTCCACTGCCTGGCACGACCAAGACTACACCCAGTTTGACTTGGAAACGGCCGACCAACAAATTGTGATTGAGCATGTCTTTGCCTCAGTGCTTGGCCAGCAGGCGTGGGAGCTGGCAGCGAGGCATCGTGAACAGGAAATGGGTGGAGTTCGGCCCTTGCCTCACCACGAATAAGCTGCGTCCGGCCAAGCTTGATAAGAAGGCAACTATGATTCGGTCGATTCTTTGTTCATTTTTAATATGGTCATGGCGGGCACCCTTTGGCCTGTCAGGTAACGTTTTGGTAGTGAATCTCGCAGACCACCCCAGAGTCCTCCTAAGGCTGCTGCTGTCCCTTCGCAAGCGCCCGACACGCCCATGGTAGAGCCGCGGGCGCAAGGCACTTATAGCAGGCTTATCGAGGAAGGGGATGTTTTTTCCCCCATTTTTAGACATGGTCCGATTGGCCCAGGAGGAGGAGGAACAATGCCCCCGAGATCAGCCCCTTGACTTTGAACCTGAGGACAAGCCAGAAAACCTGGACCATGCCATGGCCAGCAGGCCAACGTGGACCCCCCCAGGTGCCCCAGATGTGGAGCCACACAAAAGACCCTTCACCACTGGGCTTGGGATTGCGAGTGCGACGAGGGCCTGGAAGGCCTCAGCCTGGACTTGCTGGCCCGTGCCAGAGATGAGCACGACGATTGACCATGTTTCTGGTTAGGAGGTAGTGTTCCAGATATGTGGATGCACGCGCACGCAACTGTGCCCATAAGCCGCCCCCCATGTGCACGGCGTCTCCCCGGGACACGACCGCCTGCGGGAGGCGAGGGTTATGGCGGACGGCAGGCGGGAGCAGTATGTTGCCGCAGTGTCAGA